CATAGTTGGGATGAGGATTGTTGGACGGAGACTGGAGGGGGAGATTTGTTGTGTTCCAGCCTCCAAAGCCTCTAAAGCTACAGTAGTCATCATTGTTGACAAAATGAAACCTACGGGACAAGTTTTTCTTCCCACCCTATGATGAACACAATTAACAGACGCAACTACAATGGTGGCTGCCAAGACTATAAATAGAGACTTCATTCTTCAGTTGTAGACATCCCAAAAACACAGAGAAACAGATAGTATAACACTTAGAGTGAGAGTGTTAGTGAAAGGGTTGGTTTTTTGTAATAGTTGAGTGTGAGAGTTGCTCCTCCTATTGTAATTCTATTTTCGTGTTTAATAGAAGAGTTTTCCGACCCCAACAGTTGCTTCATTCAAAGGTCGATGATGCCTCAAACATACTTGGTTTCACTTGGGGAATTCTAGTTCATTCTTAGTTTTGGTTTCCATTTCTAATTTCTAGATCAACACTAGCTTTGTCTAGGCTATTTTATCTACATCTCTCTCCTTAATACACTATCTCAATGTATTGTGTTTGTCCAGCTACCTGCCGGCTATCTTTAATGAATGTTTTATTTTTGCCGTTAAAAAAAAAAACTTAAGCTGCAAAAAGTTCAATTACCGACGTGGATCGAATAATAAAATATGTATTTTCTTTTGTTACTTTATTCAAATCAAATAATACTAATTTGTTAAAATTAGCCGACTATATTTTAGTGGTACGGAAAAAATCAGAATCAAAAGCGCCGAATTTGATTTTGCCCCCAAAAATTACACAAACGCTTTAGAAGTGTTTTGGGTTTTCGCTGAACTCACATGTAAACTCAATCTTTCCCTCCTCCCATATCAAAATCCCCAAAATTTCAACATCAAAATTCATCCCTCCAAACTCCAAATCCAAATCCAAATCTCCAATATTTAATATGTCTTCTAATCTCGACTCTCATTCTCTGTGGAAACCGGGAAGATGGAGGGAGCCATCTCTCTATGCCAATTCCATGATAACAAAGAGAACATCCCTCCATTTTTATCCATTTCCAAAACCACCGATAATAAGCTCAGTGCGAGGATGACATTGAAGAAGAAGAAGAGGAAGAGCAACCACAGAGTACCTCTAAAAGATATTACTAATCTCATCGTCGATTCTCTGATCCAATTGCCGGCGGCGACTTCACCTATGTTTCCTTGTTTACAGTCGCGTTCAATTTGTAAGGCGACAGCTGGTAATCGCAATTTGATGGAGGAAGCTCGTTGCAGGTCGTTGAGGTTTGGTTTTAGATGATTATTTATCTAGATATGTAGAATGATAGGATACATCGCTGAAGGCTGAAATAGTGAATTGGGTAGGTATTGAGTTTTGTACAATTTATATGTTGGTTCGATTGGATTATATAATTTGTATACTTCTTAACATGTTTTTGATAGTTTTTTTACGGGTTAAATCATAAATGCATATCTATGTAATTATGTTTTTTTTTTCAACTTATTTAAACGATCATTATCGTATTTGTTATAATGTATGTGTTTATGTGTACAAAACACCTAAACACACATTGCCTTGAAAAACATATGTTGAATTATGGTTCATTGAACACTAGATACGAAATCCAAATGCTCCCATATTTACAGGAACAATCATTTATTTGATTAAATTTTAAAATATGTTTTTGGTTTGTGAATTTGTTTTTTTGGCAACATGCATCGAATATTGTTGTAGTTGTGTAGCACTGGAAGTAATTCCCAATAAATATAAACGCAAGCTTAGCCTTGATTGATACGACAACGTTACTAATAGAAAGGGTAAAAGTGTGCTCTTTTGTATCAAATTTGAACTAGTAACTTATCCCAACATAGAAGTGATTAATATTAGCATAATAGAAGTAAAATGGTCTCTATCAAGTCTGAATTCTAAAGAAAAATCAATGGTGATAATCCAAGACCATACATATTGATAGACATAAATACTATTTATTTGTTGAATAGACTGATTAATGGAAAAAAAAAATCATGACTATACATTGTAATGTTCACATAACACATCAGAAATAAAATAATAATAATAAAATCAAAGATTAATGTTGTGAAGAAGTTCAATATCAATTCTTGATTGTTTGAATGCTTGGTCATAATTCGTGAAATAAAGACGCTTCCCAAAACATATTGAGAAAATGTGAAATAAAGGCACTTCCCAAAACATGAAATAAAGGCACTTCTCAAAGCAATTACATGTTTGTAAAGTGCATATATTTCAAGAATATTTAGAATATTAGCAATTTTTTAATTAAAAAGTAAAATTATCAATGAAATTTGGAAATTTTCCGAACTGCAAGTTGGAAAGAGCTTAATGATTCAAAACTTTGGACCCTGAGTGTAGGAAACCATAAGATGATGTTTGCGGGTGCTTGTAAATTGTGATGTTTAGCAAATTCGAATTTGATTGTCAATTATTCTATATTCATTTACTTCGGTAACAAATTCAAGTTTAGGTATGTGACCATTTTGATCAATCAATCATTAATCCTAGTCCTAGATACAACTAAACAAGCTTTTCATGGCTATTTCAATGATGAAGATGAGGTGCATTCATGTCTTTTATCCAAACTAGAGATCAAGAGCGAGATGTTCCATCTTATTCCACCTTTTTGAGTAGAATAAAATATTACAATTTTGGCTCCATGGACATTTGTCCGAGTCCAACGCATGTAAAACACAGTACAAGCACAAGACCATATGTCAATTGCCATATCCTATCAAACAAGACCTAAAAGATGCTTCATTAGGTTTTACACAAACTGAAAAATCATTTCAAGTTAACGATTGATAACAAACATGGGATGCATTGTGATTTTAAATGCCTAATACAATGTTTTGAGAGGTGAATACTGAATACTACACTAAACACAACATCCATAAGCTAAATAAATACAAAAACAAAACTCAAACAAGATCAAGTTGGCCACTTTCAACTAGTGGTTTTATCGACTTGTAACGAAGTGCATAAATATCTCCTGCGTACATGTCTAGCGGATTTTCTTCTCCACTATCATATCAAACACGGTTTCATGTCACAAAATGACAAAATAACTAAGTACTCTTTTTTATATGTAACGAAATGGCAACAAACTATTTCACGTCGTTAAACTTTCTAATTTTTACTTTATTTGTGAACTTCAAATTATTTTAATAGATAAATTAAAATAATATACTTATAACAAAATTAAAAAGTTTAGTCACCTAGATGTTACAAAATGGAATAGTTGATTGCCATTTCATGACCTTAACCATTCTTTTAACATAAAAAAATAAAAAAATAAAAATTACCTGTCATCAACCGGAAGACCACCTAAAAACTTCCTGCTTCTGCAAATCACAAACGCATCTAACTTCGGTTCCATGACTGAAATTCATACGTTGCGAAAAAATATCAGGCGTAAATAAAAATAGCTAAATGCAAGAAATAGCAACATACTTTGTAATTATATGATTATATCCTAATTCCATTTATTTCTATTACAACATTAAATTTTCAACCTTTTTCTTATTAAGGCATTGTACTTTGAGAAATCTATCAGATTATAACATTGTATATATATGTATATATATATATAAACATAAGTATTTTAGTTCAGGTAAAAAAGAAACGGAAATTACCCATGTCATCTTCTTCACTTATAACAGATTGTTTCAAATGGGACTTGTATCGATCAGGCAATTTAGACAATACAGATTCGTCTAAATGTTGTTTCATATCTTCAATGGATCTGTAAAAACAGTGAACATAAATTTTGAGAAATTTTCATTGTGTAATTTCAGGTTAAAAGTCAGATGAGAATTGGAATGTTACCGTTTAGCAAACTTTTGTTCTTGCCTAGACAGCCTTGTCCAAAGTTCAGCAGTTTTTTGGATGTGAAACATGAATTTCTCAATCTGTAATACAGATTGAAAATAAATGCAGGTGTATTAGGTCATTTCTGAAACAATAATGAAATAATCGCAAGTCTTGATATGTATTTAGTGTAAAATACCTTCTGAAGACGAGTCCTTAGATATGATCTTAACAAAAACATAGTTCTGTCTATATCCATCTGATAAAGGGAAACCGTAAGTGGGTCTTCGCCATTGTTCATGAACTCTTCCACAGTTTCTTCCTGGTTGCAGAAAGAAAGAGATTACCACGATATTTGCGACAAAAGGAAAAGTACCCATGATTGAAATCAGAAATTGGAGTTAAATCATCATATTACAGTGTTTGATAGTTTCAATTTTAAACAAATCGTAGGTTCTAGGCCATGGGTATCCTTCATAACCATGAAAACAAAAAAACTCGAATATAAACGGAAAACATCTTCGAGAATTAGGGCTGAAATGGATGCACGTACCATCAATTGAATCTGTTCTCTGGACCTCTGAACTAAAGAAGACTCAAATTGAAGGATCTCTGGGGATGCCTTCTCGTTGCGCCATGAACGTTTGAGGAGATCTGCATCTGTGGTGGAAATCAAGGTCTCATAGTCGTCCATTGCCGAGGATCCGCCTGTACCCTTGTCTGAACCCGACTCCATGTGATCTCAACCGAGTAACAGTTTTTCTGCAAGTCTCGAATTTGAAGAAAGTAATGAACAGAAACAGATATCATTGAGCTAGATGAAAATTTAGGGTTTTGGCGCCAAATTTCCCTGGTTTCTCCCCTTTTACATTATTAGCCACCAAATTTATTTCATTTCATGGAAATTAAATAGAACCGCACAAGCATGAAATTTTTTGTCGCTTTTCAATTTAAAACGACAATATAAGATTATTCAGATGTTTAATGACTAAAAATCCATTATAGTTTTTGACTAAAAATCTATTATATTTTTTACTTTTCCTTGTTTTTTTCGGTTTAATCATTTAATTTTCATTTATGCTAAAAAAACTTTTAACCGTTTAATTTTCATTTGCGCTAAAAAAACTACTAAATCTTTTAATAAAAGTTCTATTACGACCACTAAGACTTACATTTGTGCTAAAAAAAAACCTAAATTCTTATTTTGTGCTAAAAAATCACTCATAAATTGATGATTAAACCGAACTTTAGAAAAAATATAGTGTTTTTTTCGTAATTAAAATCGGCTCTAACAGATAACAAATAGGTAACAGTGGCTGCACTGAAACGTTTTACAAAAAAATTGTGATTTTTTGAGAACTTATTAAAAATTAGTGGTTAAACCGAACTTTTAGAAAAATAATCTGTTTTTTTCATAATTATCCTTTATTTATAAGGAGCAATTTTTATTTTTGGCATATGTAGTTAAAATTCTGTAACTCAAAATTTATCCTAGATAAATCAAATTTTCTTATAGGACCTAGTTTGCATGACTTTCCCGATTTTATATGATTCGTAGTAAAAACAAAATAAAATAAAAACCAAAGTCTTAAAATCCGAAAACATTGAATTTGAAATGTTAATTGAAGAAATTTGACTATAACTATAGGGTAATATCACATTTTTCATTATGACAGGAATTTTCATAACTTCTCACATATTAAAAGTATTCATTTTTAAATTGTGTTTGTGATTTTAGTGTTATCAATGTACTTTTAAAACATTATTAATTATCAATATAAATAAGTTTTTACGGAAATAATAATAATAATAATAATAATAATAATAATAATAATAAATAAACTTCAAATCATTATCAAAGTTTACATTTTTCGGTGTTACAACAATATCAACAACTATAGTAAAAAGGAAAAAGATTACACAACATTCTCTGATTTCCATTGTGATCTTTTTGGCAACAAACTATATCTTCACTTTCATACCTGAGTACATAGCACAAACTATATAAGTCTGAAGACTCATGAGCTACATGGGGTTCTAATCCATGCTTTAATAAATTTTAAATATTGTTACTTGTATTATACTAAGGACTTTAGCTCATAAAGTCCTAACACACATGAGTGTTCGATAAACATGGCATGCACAAAGCTAACAACATAACTTGGCCTAGGAAGAACAAATTATTTTGTGCCACTTAGGTAACATAACTTGTCGTGATTTCCTTCTTAGAAATCTTAGTTGTTAATCCCTTCAATTGTCCTCAAGATTCGACGCTCTAACTAAGAAATCACCCAATTATCACTAAGTATCGCCTATACCCTGATGTAGTGTATTTTGAGTTGAAAAATATGAGTTTACGTCTTTTATTTTCCTTATGATACAGTCGCCACGTCGTGGTGATATCATGACCACACGGTGGTGATCGGCGAAGCCTTTTGTCATGTTTTAATGGCTTCCGCGACACTTTCCATCCGTCACAGAAAGGTTTTTGTCACTAAAGTCTTCAACAACCTACTTTCACTACGTCGTGGTTCTTTCAAAGTACATTGCCCACATTTTAACATCAAATAAATTACTGCTTCCCACGTTGTTACACCACCTCCACCACGTCGTGATTTCAGACCACCACATTGTGGTTACTGAAACTTCAAAATTTGGTCTATTTAATCCTATTTTCCCTCTCTACCCTTTTAGTCATACCTATTGATCAATTCTCCCACTCCTTAATTTTATATCATCATCTTTAAGCATAAAGACATAATTTATACTTTCAACAAAGATTCAACTTATGAATCATAGTAAATGACCCAAATGCCCTTCTTAATGATTAAGTTCTTAACAACACATTATACTTTATAATTATACCACATATACATACACACTTATATACATTACTCATAACTTATTTAATCAAACTAGGAAATTACACATATCCAAAATGTAAATGTCACTACGAAATTTTGTTGATAGATTAGTGACATTATTGGAGTCAATAACCTTTCCTTCATGGTTATTGAAATGAACTTCATAATCGGCATCAGAAAATTGACTAATTTCAATGAGATTGTACTTCAATCCTTTCACATAAGACACATTTAAGAACTAAACAGTCTTGCATTTGATTGTACTAAAACCTTTTGTTTTTTCTTTTCCATTGTCTCCATAGGTGACTACATGACCATCTTTCTTCACATAATCCTCCACGCGAGACTTGAATCATGTCATATGTCGAGAGCATCCACTGTCTAAATACCAGATGTGCTCTTGACCCTGCACCTCTCATAAACAATTAGAAAACTTTATTGACCCATTTTGCAACGGGTTTAATAGCAGAAGACGTATAACATGTGAAATCTCCATTTTCACGACCTGAAAACATATTTTTCTTTATGCTTATCTAAAACAAGGTATTTCTTTATTTTGCGGAATTTGTCCCATAAAAGGATTTCCGAATAAATATTTTTCATTGATTATTTAAAAACTTGGGATGTCATAATTAATATAAGAAACATAAGCATAAACATAGTCATTACAAGCTTTACAATATCTTATTATAAGAATGACATATATCTCCTCGAATCTCTCATCAAATCCAAACATAACTGAGTGGGTCAGGCTTGGGAGTCTGCTGAGATACATAAGGATTTCAATCCCATAATATTATTATAATAATATTCCTTAATTATCAAACCTACAAAACCATCTGTTACCAAATTATATATATATATATATATATATATATATATATATATATGTCACACCCCCAAACCGGAACAGAGGAAACGTTCGGGGGTGGAGGACGTCATGCGTAGTATCACAACAATTGTATCATAGCAAGCATAGTAAACACAACCAGACATTGAATACATATATGAAAAAGGTTTACATTGTTTAATACATAGTTTTGTTCATATCAAAAGCAAAATAGAAAGACGTGACTCTAACGCTCCAACTTCTGCAAAACTCTTGGGAAAACCTGTCTACTAATTTCCTGAGAATACAAGCAGTTTTGAAGAATATCAGCATAAAGCTGGTGAGTTCATAAGCATTTAGTTTTGGTGGAAAAATGTTCTTTGATCCTTTTTGGAAAGCGTTCCTCAAGAAAATCCTATATTTTCTTATAAAAAACGTGTTTGAAAACCCATTCCTTCCATGACTTCCAGATTCGTACAAGATATGTACAATCCAAGGAGTCGTGGAA